GGTTGTCTTGGCCCCTCGGGGCTGACTGCCTCTACACCAATGCTACGGCAGTAACACCATTCTGTCGTACGTGGAGGTGCGTCAGCTCTCATCTTCAGAATCAAAACGTCCGATAAAGCCGAATAGGCTAGGTGCGGACGTCAAAGATCTTAATTGTCCTTCTTAGGACGACCGAGTATACGGGAATGTCAGGAAGGGATCTCATGTCCATCGAACCATCGGTGATGGGACTGAGGCTATCAACAGCTAGATCATTTCAACCCCGTCGAAATTCCTAAACCAAACCCATTGAATCTCTCACTCACTTTTAAATACTTTCTTCTATGTACATACACCTTATATAACTAACCTATTGGGATATAACGGAGTGCTCAATATACCACCATCAACCTTCTCACACTACACATTCACGCCAATAAGTACGTTCATTCTCAACAAACGATAACCCAAAACTATCAGTATTATGCACAATAAAACAACCTTATTTCCTCCAAAAATCAGAACAGGACACCCAGATTTTAGCTGCCGTGCTCAAACATGAATCTCATATCTGATGTCATCCTACACGCTCCCTATATTGAGCCAAGGAATTACACCTTTCAACTAGGTGGGACACATACTTACACCATTTCATTTATTATATCGATATAATAAAAGGATATTTTGAAATGGTTGTAAGTTCCTGAAAAAACACCTAAAAATATCTTAAAACAAGCGAACAACCAAGAAAAAAGAAGAGAAGAATAAATATTTATTTGTCTTATTTCAATTATATTTAATTTATTTATTTCAATAGGTACTGATTTCAATACATTTATTTTCACACCACGGATAAATATCCGTTATTTAACATTAGCGTTTGTTAAGCTTTTATTTAACAAAATGCTAGAAGGTATTAATTAATTATGTAAAAATGAGTGAACTAAGCACGTCACAAAATTAGTGTGATTTGAGATTGTAATTTGTGGGTTTCTGAAAAAATACTCTAATCCAAGTTGTTCAGGTCATAAATTAGCCGGCAACCAAAATAAAAAAACACTTCCGACTTGCCAAACATTTAGCAACCACTTGAAAGTTTAACAAACCGGAATTCGAACTTCACCTAAGTTGAAAATGAAAGAAGGAACTCATTTCCTCAAATCCGGCCACTAAGCCACTTATTTGCGGAAAACAACAGTCAACGATATAGAAAACATGTTTCTCTAAAGATTAAAGGCCAATTGGCGTAGCTTTTTGCATTTCCATTATAGTATTGAAAAAGGATTAAATTATAGGCACAATATTTAGCATAAAAATTGTTTACGTTAAATATTAATTATAACGAATGGCTGTCGTGAGAAACTTATTTGTCCCAACCTTTAAATAATGGATCATCTTTAAACTTTAATGAGCAATTATCGGGTTAATAATTGTTGCATAACTGTTGTCGCTCAAACATTAAGTCCGTTTTGTGTGGACAGCATTTCAATCCTAGTAATTTCCATTCGCCTTCTGTAGTGATTAAATATCTTTCAGAGGCCCATGCATAACTGTGCATAGGAGTTAATAATAGTTAGATAGATAATCGTTTAGTTATCATTTTTACACACAGATTGCAACCTGACTTTTTCTTGTTAGAAGTACGAAAGACACTAAGCTTTATAACCTTCTGCAACCTTAACGATGTAACCATTTTAATTAGTAATAGTGACTTATATATACATAGATATCAATTATCTATAAACATATATATATCATTAGAATAAATATAATAAATAAATAATGAGATAATAAATAAATTTGCACATACATACACAAATAAATAGGTAATTCCATACATACGCCCATGTACACACATGTATCTATGCTCTAAGAATAAATAAATAATTAAATAGATAAATAAATGTAACGTGTGTGGACATGTAGGCGATCTTAATGTTTGGAGCCCCGAAGTCGTTATTTGTGACAACGGTGTCCAATTCCGTAGTGAGGAATTCCAACAGATGGCCAGACGTTATGATATAAAAGTGTGGTACACTCCGAAATATCACCCTCAAGCGAATCCAGTGGGGAGGGTGAACCACGTGATAAAAACGATGGTATCCTCGTACCTAAAAGACAATCACCGGCACTGGGACGTTCATCTCAACCATTTCGAATTCGCCTTAACAACGGCCGTCCATGAAGTTACAGGATATTCGCCCGCGTTTCTAAATTTTGGTCGAGAATTGAAAAGGAAAGGGAACGAAGCAGGCCTAGCAGAATTACATTCGGAGACTAAGGACCATGCGGAAAGGGTTGGGAGGCTGAAGAATCTGAACCACGTTTACCAAGATGTCCAACTCCGATTGGACAAGGCCTAAGAGAATAGCCGAAAGCGGCATAATCTGAGGCGGAGAGACATCATCAGACCTGGAAATTGGAGACATCATCTGGCGGAAGACGTTTGCGCTATCGGACGCAGCAAACTACAAAGCTGGGAAGCTGGCGCCATTGTTCCAGAAGTACTGGGTAAAACAAAAAAGGGCCGCTGGTGTGCCAATTGGAGGATTTAACCGGCAAAGATTTCGGTGATTGGCACATTAAAGACTTAAAACCCCATCCCTCGACCGACTGGGATACCTCCAGAGAACATTTCAGTCCCCACGCAGTGATAGGATACCTAGGTCAGGGAGTAAAAATAAATGTTAAAAAAAGGAGAATCTTTTTTTCCGAGGAAAGAGGGGGAAAAACACTTTCTATTTCTTAAAACAGACACACAAAAAAAACTAACTGTCTCCACACGTTGGACTTCGCCGGAGCGCCTCGTCTCGACGTCTGTCCTAGTTCCTGCCCGGATGCGTATCCTGTCCCCGGAGGGGAACGGCCGTTTCCCACACTGGAAAAAGAAAAGGATGTCCCTCGTTCCTCCGGTTTTCCTCCTTTTTTCCTCTTTTTCCTCTCGTCTTTCACCGCTCGCACGCCTAGCCTGCTTCCCTCTGCTTACCCACGTCTCCCCCACCAGCCGCCGTCGTGTTCGCCCGGCCTCCGCCCTCTCAGTTCCCGATCCAGGCGTCCAACCCTATTACTCGGCTTCCGTCATTCTCCCCTAGGTTGGCAACGGTCCCTGCCACGTTAGAGGTACCCCTTACAAAAAAAAAATGGAATTTTTCCGACTCCTAATCGAAAATGATATACTTTTCTAAAATTTTGACCGGAAGTCCCAAAATCGGGGAGGTGAACAGTCAGGGCGTAACAATGTGCATACAAATTATTTATTGCAGGATAACTTTTAATCGTTTATGCTTCCAAAAAATCATGGTGTCGTAATTTCCAATCCATCTGCTGAGGAGGTTCTTATTTGAGGCGAGTTTACAATGAAGATTTGTGGTTTGTGCTTTCACAGAAGTTAGTAAAGAAAAATATGAAAGGTGCACAGATTTACTTACTGTCATGTATGTACAGTCAAGCAGTTAATGTTAATAAAAGTTAAAAGTTAAGCAGTTAATGCGTTTGCTTTAATATAGTTTCAACTCTAAACTTTTCTGGGAGTCCCGAACTAACCTAATGACTTTAGGAAAACACGTGAGATCAGAAACACAACTAAGTGAACTAGAGTGTGTACTTAAGTTCGAACTTGAAAAATCGAGTGAGAAATAAAAACCCAAGCCCTGGACAAATTATCAGATATGTGGCAAGCCAAGAGATTTATAAATCTCCCACAAAGGAAACCTCTATCAGTAGGCAAGAGTTAAGAAAATTGTAGGCCTCTAGAACAGCTACTGCGCTCTTAAATTACCACCCAAAGAGGATGGGCAAAGAAGAGAAAGAAATATGCCTACTATGTCTGGAGGGACTAGAAACATTGGTGCATTTCCTTTGTGAATGCAAAGCATTAGCCCGGCTACCATACCGCCACTTCAGTAAGGCATATCTTCACCAAACTTGGTGCGCGAAGAGACTCAAAAAAGTGCTTAGTCTTATAAGAAAAAGTCTACTTTTCAATGTATGGCTATAATTTACAGGTGTTACACTATAGGTAAGTCGCAACCCCCACCCCTAAAAAAGTGTTGCTTCAACTTCAATGCTTCAAATTTGTTTGCTATACTTGAAATTCTATTATTTTCCATGCATAAATGTTGTTCAGGTGGTTGTCTTCTTGATCCTATTACTGTAGTCTCAAACAGACGCCAATGAATAAATTTACCTATCAAAAATGTCAAAGAAATGAAAAATTGTCCTAATATGCTTCTCTTTTCTCGTCAATATTTCCTTACACATTAAAATTCATGGTTGTATTTTATTTTATTTTTATTATTATTATTTTTTGTGGCCTTTTGATCTATGCATATTAGCCAGATGGTTTAATTTAAATTAGGTTTAACCATGTATCGTGTGCTACACTGACTTTTAATAATCAAGCACATCATTTTATATTTTTTTCCATCAAGCCAGATAGATTAAAAATAACTTTTAGATAAACTAAATTACATGAGAGTTAATTAGAGAGTTAATTGTTATGTACCTAGTGACAATTAGGATAGAAAATTCGCTTCGGTGATATTTTTCTCCGGCTTGCACTCGTGGAGTATTTCCTGGTGTATTTTATCAATTTTACATGTAACGGAATAAACCAAAGCAACAGTTTTCAATTATAAACCACATTCGATGGGATTTTAATGTCCCATATGCTTTTAAATGTTATTGACAGGTTTTAGTGTTTGCTCGCCAATCATTTGAAAAAGTCAATGATTTATTGGCGACCGAGTGAACCCCTACGTCCGATTACATTTGTTTAATTGAAAGAGATTAATTTAAAATAAAGTTTCGTTACTCATCCCAATAGAAATTTAATTTAAAAAAAGATCTCCAATTGTCTAAATTATCTAGATTTTTTTACTAGCTTTGAAAGTCACAATTTAAAATCAAATCCTCCAATCGTGTTAGAATTGTGTTTTCCAAAACTTTAAAAACTGCTTACAAAATAACATTATTTTTACATTTTTTTTTTCAATGTTTTGATATCGATTTTTGCCCTGCAGCGAGATTCAACATCGACCAGGTTCCGCTCACAGATTCGTTCAAACTGGGCACCTCGATCCTCGAGATGATGCTTAACGACTTGGTACTTCAAGTCTCCGGCACGGTCGTCATCTTCGACATGGGTGGCCTTTCTCTGATGATGCAGGCCAGGCTCATCACGCCCACAGTCGCCTGGCATCTAGCTTTAATCGTACAGGTATAAAAAACAGACTTTCAAAATAACTGAAACGTGTACGGAACTCTTTTATTCATTCTTATCAATATATCTGATAAATATAGGAAAATTGGTTTTATTTTGTTTAGGCTCAAATAAATCTTTGTTTAAAACAACTGATTAGATGTAGTGTGTTATATAAAAAAAATTGTTTGTGAAAATGCAATATGTATAATTTATTATTTTCAAATGTGTTTATATTTTGAGATTTTTTAAAAGGTCATCGTTGACATAACAGCAGAGAAAGGAAATATTTTCATTTGGATGACTGGCAGGTTCTATTTTATTTTTATATCGGATTGCAATTTGTATTTTTATTTTTTTGCCCTAGATGACAGACAGCTACAAACTAGATTCGACTAAACACGTCACCAGAAAGTGCAAGATGCGGTTCTGCATTTAACAAGCTTGATTCTGATTTCAGGACAAGATACCGATGCGGCTGAAAGCGATCCACATCATAAACCAACCGTTCTATTTCAACGCTGTGTACGCCCTTTTCAAGCCGTTGCTCAAAAAGAAGTTGAGAAAGAGAGTAAGCGTTTTTCATAAATAATAAATTATTAATTCCATCAGCCGAATACTTTAAAGGCTCCTTTACGTCAAAGGTATGACGGAACAGTTCATAAAACTGACGTAATGGATTTGTATGCTGCGTAGTAATGCTATTTTGGTATAAGAGGAAAACTTTTTTCCTTGCATTCCAAATTAATTTTCATTATTAATCTCCTAATTATGTTGAAATTTTACTTATTTAAACATTTTCCCTTGTAAATAGTGCGGTAAATGTTTTCCACGGCACGTGGTCGCAAACCCGAAACAGTATTAAAACAACATTCCTAATTACCATGCAGAACAATCATTGTGCTTGGCTGTACATCGATTTGAACAAATATTTGCGAATTGGGGTTCGAACGAAATCAGGTTTGGACATGCCCAAGAGTTATTGCACGTTATTCCAGGTTCCAGGTGGAATTTCTGCATTACAAAAATTCCTTCTTGATGTCATTTAAAATTGTACGTGGTTCCTGTATAAGTGTTACAACGTTAATTTTTTAAATCGAAACTTTCGCATCTTTGCTGGATTAAATACTTTACATTGAAAGGTTTAAAAGATGTGGGGATAGATTTAAAAAAGTTTTCAATTTGAAATAATCTGCGTTCGAGAAGATTATTTTTAATTAAAACATACAAAATTTTTGTAACGTTCCGCCCTGACATTGGATCATATAGTAATTGACGTTGTGATCACTATTATACATAATTTCACTAATTTCGTGGTCCGCTTGACCAATTAATACATTACAATTAATTAAGGATTTTAGTTTAGATGAAAAAAAGTTAATGGCACGAGCGGGATTCGAACACACGATCTTCGGCTAGATACGCCGCTGCTCTACCACTTGAGCTATCGTGACCTCGATCCACTCGGACATCAACTTCCTATCTAACCCCCACCTTATGAGTTGAAAAATGGCAAAAAGGAGGGAAAACTCATAAGGTGGGGTTGAGATAGGAAGTTGATGTCCGAGTGGATCGAGGTCACGATAGCTCAAGTGGTAGAGCAGCGGCGTATCTAGCCGAAGATCGTGGGTTCGAATCCCACTCGTGCCATTAACTTTTTTTCATCTCAACTAAAAACCTTAATTAATTATATATAATAATTCAGACACTAGTAAATATCTAATAATTAGTTTAAACCTCTTTAGACTTTCATACGCTTAAAACTGTTGAAAAAATTATGTTTTTTACTTTTTAAATAACTAAAATGTACTGAGAAGGAAGCGCTAGTACCTCAAAATACATATGAAAAAATATTTTTTTGGAACAAAATTCTTTAAAGCTTTCCAGGATTAATATGTTTTTCGACAAACTTTTCAAATCAATTCCCAAAGAATTTTTTCTTCGATGTGCACTCATGAATCTAAAAATCACTGCAAATCTTTCTGCCTTTATTAATTTTTTTTCTTTTTCTTATTGGATTTGTTTTCCTGTGGTTTATATAATTTTTAAGCAATTTCAAAGTCGTCTATCAAAACTCTTGGAAAACGTACTAACCAGAAGTCAAAATGCATACAAATAAAAACGTTGTTGAAATTAACTCCTTTAAATTTTGTTGCGATTAATACCTGTTGAGATAAACCGTCAGAAACGACCCATTTGTCACTAAAATTTCGGTTTTTACTCTTCTAAAACCATACCTGTGAAATAGACATTTACCAACTTATCCATTTAATCAAACGTCAACAAAATCATTCTTTAAAAATAGTGTTCATGTATGTTCTAACGTTTTTCTAAAAGATTTTTGCCACAATGCCCATTATTAATACAAAAACCACTGACAAATCAACCTGTCTTCGTTCATTTTAAGAATGAGAAGGAGGCTTTAATCTTTTTTTGCTTTGATAGATAAACAGTCACAAATAACCCATGTGTCCTAAAATTATGGTTTTTACTCTATCAAAATCATACTTGTAAACTAAGCGGTTACTAATAAGTGAAATAAACTGTACGAACTCAGTGTTAATATTATTAAAATCCACTAGTTTTCGTGGTCAGCTTGACCAATTAATATCTTTCAATTAATTAAGGTTTTTATTTGAGATAAAAACGTCAGTGTCACGAGTGGGATTCGAACCGACGACCTTCGGCTAGACACGCCGCTACACTTGAGCTATCGTGACTTCGATCCACTCGACTAGCCGAAGGTCGTAGGTTCGAATCCCGCTCGTGACACTGACTTTTTTATCTCAACTAAAATCCTTAATTAATTGAAAAAATTATTAAAATCTTTGAGAACTTATGCCGAAAGGGATCCTGAGAAGAAGTCATTGCCTGACTTTAAAGGCTTATAAATAAAATAGTCTGTACTGTTGTGGAAAGCTTACAAATCACCTGAATCGCATACACATTACATTTTATGGATGAATTAGATTTAGATGCAATTTCATTTTTTTGCAAATTTTCATTTGTTACTTTTTGAAAATGTTATTATCTCGGACATTTGCCATAATGTACTAAAAAGATTTCAAAGTCTGCCCGTGTGGGAACACCCTTTATAAAATTCCTTGGTTTCGAGGAAGCAAACCATAATTTGTAGTAAAATGAATGGCCTTTTACTCAGCGAAAATCTTAGTTGACGTTCACAAGTCAAGGTACAAACAAGATGAGGCACGTTGAACGTACCGTTTGCTACTGATCAAAAGAAGAGGCATTCTGGAGTGTCTTGTTATTGCTTTATGTTGCTTAATTGGGGAAGGGTTATAGCTATTTTTCAATTTATTATGATCAGGTGAGCAGTTCAAAGTGCAAAAACCCTTTAAACATTTCCTAATTGAGAAACCTCTAATTGAGTTGCTTTTATTTTATGTGTACACATTGTTTGTGGTTGAGGGATTTTATAAACAAATTACTTTTTCCCACGTGTAATGGTGCTTTTATAAAAACCACTCACTTTTAAATTTATAAGCAAATTTTTGCTCATTAACATCAACTCTGTGTTTGAACCGTTTGACAATACAGATTAAATATTGGCCGAATACTCTGAATTCTATTTTTTTCTAGTTTACTATAGCTTTTGAATCCCTAATTGTAGATGTTTACCGCACATGTTAACATGTGTACTTTTGTGTAAATCATTAGAAGTGAAACACTAACTGATCAAGGTTCACCTTTGAGGCTAGTGTAGTTTTAAACGAAAATTTCATCATATTTTCATGCAAAAAAGCTTTCAAAATAACATATTTATAAGAAATGTCAAATAAAAAATTTGTTTTTACAGATTTTTTTCCACGGCAACGATATGGAGTCCTTACACAAGCACATCGCCCCTGAGAACCTGCCAGAGGAGATGGGAGGCACGAGGCGCCCTTTTGGCATCTACCTCACCAGGTCGCTCCTCCATCTCAACGAGCACAAGTTCAAAGGTGACAAAAGGGAAATACAATGTCAAAATTAGCGTAAAACCAAGCCTGAAAAGCCAGCGAGAGCCCATCGAAGTTTTACCACCGCTGTTATAAGTATCATGAGCCAAGTTGGACAAAGAGGCCGATCTCAATCGGCCCTGATTAATTTACCGTCGTGAAACGTTCCATTCAGCCTTCTACGCCTCGCCTTTATTCTCAACACTTTGAAAGGCTAGGTTTTGTGTGGTCCTCTGTTATTAGGAGGGAGAGCAGACGAAGTTTCCCCATTTTGGTGTTATGGCCCTTTTGAAATTTTAAAATGCCCTTGCCCCCTGCATAGACTTTTCCTTTTAAAAAATTAAAAAAACATATTGACATGGGAGAATTCAGTCAACTCTCTTCATTACTAACGGGAAACATTTCACTACAGAGGAAAAGCGAAAAAAAAACATGTATACTTTTTTAAATCAATCATCATCATTATTAACACATAAAATCCTCAATACCGCCGGGCACAATTTCTCAATGTAACTTAATCGCTTCATTTTTTATTGATCTGAAAGGTCGTCGTATACTCAACGATACTTCAATATTTACGGATACACATCACCTAATAAACCGTTCAAAAATTGGGTATTAAGAGTAGAATTGAAAATATCGGGTTTCTTGTGAAAAGAATCGAATTTTTAAATTAGTGTGATCACGTTTGATATAGAATAGTAAGGAGGATCGATTATTTTTCGACGCTTTTTCGATTGTTGAATTTCGTTTTGATTTTTTGAATGTTGGAGCGTTAGGCCGAACCGTAGAGCAAACGTGTGGTGTTTAGTAACCGTTAGTCAATGATTATGGGGATATCGTGAGATGCGGTCTGGTGTGATGTAGGTTTAGAAAAACATTTCCTTTATCGTGCCACCGTTTCGGTCTTTATTTAGATCATCTTCAGGGCTCAAAGTGTTTGTTTTCTGAGTAGATGTGTCGTGTTGAGAGTGCCGGTGAGATATTGATGTTTCATGTTTATTTTTGAAAGGGTGGAGAAGGAAGTAGGGATAGAAAGGCATATAAAAACATTTTTATATGAAGTGTCGTCTTCTCTGAGGTGAAAGGAGCCGAAATTGGGAAAGAACGGGTAGTTCTGCCTGATTATCTTTTCAGGATTATATAGTCGGGGATAATTGGGAACAATATTTATAAATCCCAGGCACTGAAGATGATCTCGGTAAAGGTCGTAACGTTGACCCGATAAAGAAAATGTTTTTCTAAAACCTACGTCACACCAGACCGCATCTCACGATTTCCATATAATCATAGATCAAACGTTCATATGACTACATTGTTGTACAGTGATAGTTTTGATTATCGGCCACGTAATGTTAAAAACAGTTGGTAGCGTCTTTTTGGTTCAAATGTTTTGAGTCTAGTGTAGCTGGTTTCTAGTCAGTTTTTAGATCATGAAAACTCCCAATTGAAGTAAAATATAAACATGAGATGTTAAGAGGAGGTAGAGTAATTTATTCGCTGAAAGGTTCCACAACCAGCGGTTCGAGAAAATGTCACTATATCATCAGCAAAATTAGACATTACCGTACAGAGAAGAAGCTCATGTGTATATATGGTTTTCAAAAATAGAACTTAAATTTAAAATAATTATTTGAGGGATATAGGCAATAATTAGGAAAATAGAACAAATATCATGTTCGCCACAATCATGAAATGACTGACAAAAAGGGAGTTATTAGGAATTATCCTTAGTTGTAAGTGTTAGATGTATGCACCACAATCACGAGTAATCTGAATCACGTTGATGAAAAAACAACTTCAAATTGAATTATTTTGTGATCCAGATTCGTTAATTATCATTAGCTTAAATAACAATCATTGTGCTTAACCGTATCAAAGCTGCGAAATTAATTAAACTCAATTGAAACAGTTAGAAATAATCTTGGATCTCGGTATCGCCTGGATGAAAAATAATAGTTTGTAATAAATGTAAATTTGAAGGCCGATTCATTGCAAGTTGAGACAGAGTCGGTCTTCAAGGAAATTTGGAACAATCTATTACAAACTTAATTATGTCAATTCGTAGACATATTTAAGATAGTTTTGCCCTGATGATGACCTTAAAGTAGGTCGAAAGCTTGGCAGTAACAATTTAGTTTTTTTTATCCAGACTTCACCGAGACTCAGAAAAAGTAGTCGCTACATCTAATTTAAATAGAAAGAGTTACGACATTTAAACCGTTTAAAGAGGAAATTATCCAGGATTGTGGAGAAAAATAATTAGTAAACTGATAGGACTATTTATGTTTTAGCTGGACTAAGGGATTATTTTGTTTAGCTACAAACCCAAAGTCGTTGTGAAATTAGGTGTTTCTTCAGAGCAATCACATTATTCCCCTATTATTAACTAGACATTTTTTTCCAATTTTACTAATGAAACTTGTTATCTATCAAACAGCGATAACAATGTTATGCAGAGATTTTGTTTGCCGGATTAGCAAAACTTGTCTATTATTTTCAAATTTAAACTTTCGAGGTTCGAGCTGATCCTCTCTGTCCACGGCAGAATAAAAATCCATGGATTATACAACAGCAACACATGTTTTTGCACTGATGGACAAATAATTAACGCAACTTTTTAAACTGATTTTTTAAAAACTGGCGATTTTTCGAAAAGTGTCGGAAATCATAGGATTGATTTTATGATTTATTTTAATAATGCCACCCTAGAAAAAACTGAAATTAAAAATCTTACTTAATTATTTTGCATTGTAGAAGTGTTGTTGAAGGAGTTATTCACCATTCATCAGTCATTCATGTCAATGACAAATTGATAAAACATTGTTACCATTGTTTGACAAGAAAAGAAGATAAAAAAGAATAAATTACATATAGACTTTTCTAATACTCTTATCAAGAATACTGACGTGGTTAGAAAAATTGACATACAATAATTGTTGTTTTTCAGTTTTATATCTAAAAGTAATTCGTAGTTATTTTTTGATTAGGAGATAAAAACTTATTTTTACTAAATATACAGGTAATCAGATTAATAAGTTTTCCATATTAAACCTTATTGAATAAACACATTAGAGTTTGGTTTAAATTGAAAGAGTTGTGAATAAAACAATGAAAATTTTGAACTTTCCCGAATGTTTGTCGAATTCGTATCCCACGCTGATTTCCCGTATATCGTTTTGAAAACAATTATTCAATTTTACTCTCAATATTTGTTTGAAATTTCTTTAATGAATTATTGAAAATTTGTTATGGTAGAAAGTTTCGCGAATACTTCAACGCTTGGTGCGTTTTATCGAACTCGGGGATTGGAATTATCTCGATTTAATTAATATCAGCCACAAACATAATAATTTTGTTGGAGAATGATGAAAGAACTATGCGAGGAGACGAACATCTCTTGTAAAAAAAACAACTCTTTACAATTTTGTGGTACCTAGCTTACTAGATACCTTTTAGCTTGGTCGTTTCAGATCTGTCTGGTGAGCACGACTGAAATAAAAACCCAGTTAGAAAAATGACCAAAATGATTGGAAAATTTCAAAGCTAACGGGTCATGCCCCCATATCTCACGATAAAATTTTACAATTCTACAAGATCCTGTGACTAAGGAACGGAATCAGTTGTCAACTTTTAAAGAAACGTGTGGTGAGTAGTGACCATTAGTCGATGATTATTCAGAAATCGTGAGATGCGGTCTGGTGTGATGTAGGTTTCAGAAAAACATTTTCTTTATCGTGCCCTGAAAACCCAGGCCCTGAAGATGATCTCAATAAAGATCAAAACGTTGGCACGATAAAGAAAATGTTTTTCTGAAACCTACATCACACCCGACCGCATCTCACGATTTCTGAATAATTTTTAAAGAAACTTTGTTTATCACAATCGAATTTAAAACTACCCTTGCACAAGTTGCACAAAGAAAAAACCCACGAGCTTCCTTCACAGCTAATGAGACGTTGCCTGAAAAAAATGGTATTTACTCAGATTAAATCAATGTTATGTTCAAAGAATAGTTACATTTGAATATTTGATACATAATGTGATGAATTAGAAAAAAGTCAACTAGATCAGGCTACATTGTACGACACAAAAAAGCAGCAAAGTTGTTAGAATCTACCGTAGTCTTATTTAAGTCGTAACAATACAACTTTAGACTGAGAAATTCTTTCCAGCAATAACACATTTGTTTATGAGGAATAATAACGTTATGTTAGAAAACGTAAAAAGTGTAGTAAATCGCTTTTTTAAACTAAAAATATGTTTTCAATGTTATTTTATTTATTGCCACCTGTGCAAAATAAATACAGTGAGCGAGTAGTATAGAATATACACATACAATATACAATATAAACATACGTATACAAAATAAATACATTATATACAAATTTGACAGTTCTGACACGGAAGACGTGGGGAGAGAAACAACCAGTGCCGGAACTCTCTTTAATTTAGTCGGAAGAGTTAAGATCACGAGATCATCGTAGTTTTAGACAACATGGGAAGGTTATAAGGATGGGACTTTGAGGAAAGCGTTTGGGCTAGTGGATTAGGGTGAAGGGATAAAGTAGAAATTGAGGAAGCGTGTTCGCATGAGAGCCTTCCCGAATATAGTTTTACGATCACTGGGACTCATTTGATAGGTGACGTAGAAGGTAGGGTTGAGGATACGTCGGAGAACTTTGGATTGAAAAGATGGATGTTAGAGGATTTGGCCGAGCCCCACAGGTCGAATGCGGAACTCCAAAACAGTCTCATGAGTTTTTTGTAAGCGATTGTTTAGAATGTGTTGTGGTAGTATGTTTTGTGTTGATTTTGATCCCAGTAGGTGTCTGAGTAGTCCACGTATTTTTTCTTTTTTCAAACTATCTATTTTAAGCTCGAGATAGCGGATTTTGTTGGATGGAGGTAATATATTGTTGACTATGTGCACTGGTCGGCATGTGGCATTTGACCATATAGTTAGTTACTTGTTGGATTTTTCCCGTTCAACCTGTCCAACAACGAGTGCACGGTAGTGAGTTTCAGATATTGTTTAATTGCTTCTGTGGCTAGGACAGAATTAGAGTGTGTAGATAAGATTCCGCATAGGATCTGAGTTTTTATTTGGATGTGTAGGTATATATACTTCCTTGTGACCTCTATGTCTTTAAACCATCGATCCGAGAGGAAGGACTTCAGGATGAGATAGTAAGTGCGAAGGAAGATACGCCTTAGTTGGTAAAGGAAGCTGGATCGAAGCTGGATTCGACTCGGTCGAATGCTTCCGTAACGTCCAGAAATACGGTGGAACAATATTGTTTGTAATTAATTAAGGTTTTTAGTTGAGATGAAAAAAAGTTAATGGCAAGAGAGGGATTCGAACCCCACGACCTTCGGCTAGATACGCCGCTGCTCTACCACGTGAGCTCGTGGTCAAAAAACTTTTTTTCATCTCAACTAAAAACCTTAATTAATTGTAATGTTTAATTGGTCAAGCGGAGCCCGAAATTAGTGAATTTAATGAATTAACTGAAGTACACTTCACTGAAGCTCTCCGTCGCCATTTCAATTGTCGTCGAGAATCCAAACTGATTACACGACATTTGAAAAATGGCAAAAAGGAGGGAAAACACATAAGGTGGGGTTGAGATGGGGAGTTGATGTCCGAGTGGATCGAGGTGACGATAGCTCAGGTGGTAGAGCAGCGGCGTATCTAGCCGAAGGTCGTGGGTTCGAATCCCTCTCGTGCCATTAACTTTTTTTCATCTCAACTAAAAACCTTAATTAATTGTAATGTTTAATTGGTCAAGCGGACCACGAAATTAGTGAAAATATTGTTTGTGTTCTAGAATGAAGGCTATCGTGTTGACTACTTTGAAGCTCTGCTGGAGAACGAAGGGATCGGAATCCAAATTGGTGGTTGAAACCCGGAAAAGGCCAACGGGAAAAAAAATATTTTTAGGTCTTTATTTAGACAAGAAGTAATCTTGGAATCTTCATATAAATAATATGCTATTGAAGGACTTTACAAAAGCTTAGAAGTTTCTGTTCGAATAAATTGGGTGCGCAGAATCTTCTATTCGTACGAATTTCTAAAAATCATCGATTAGACCAATAACTGATTTAGGATCAATTTGTTATGGACAGGCTGAAGAAAATTGAAACTCTCCGAAATGTTTGTTTACGACGCATCCTGAGAGGATTGCCTAGAACTGGATGCCTGTCTGCAGAAGCATGCGAAGCTCCTTTATAACTTCACCTTATATTATTCTTTAATTAAACTCTACAGCATATTCAGGAAGTTAGTTACCGTTACTGAGAAGGTTCAGTCGTATGTTTTCTATCAAAAAAGTATTTTCCCACTCTGGTATCGCCATACCTTCAATCAATTCTCTAAATATTTTGTATGTACATTCTTCATAAAGCTCAATTGATCCGCGGTATTGTTTGCGTTACAGCGCTGCAGGTAGTGAAATAAAACTTTCGTACTACTCATACTACTCAAAGTTTACGCCAAATATAGCAGAAGAGGAATTTCTCGCAGATGTGAGTGAATTTTTCCCGGATAATGTGCTAATTTTACCGATGAAAACAGATTGAGCCTTTTATGATACCAAATATAAATATAGCGAACAATATTCCTACACTACTTCTATTTTCACATTAGAGTTTACACCAATAGATAGGGTTCTAAACTATATCTACTCAAAGATTGAAAAAAATCTGCATTTTAACAAATTGAACAAATTAACAATTTTTTATATTAATTCTAATTATATCATGTTGGATAATTATAACTGGATATACGATCTCAAAATTATTGGTAAAATCATTGCTCTATGTTGAGCCAAAGGTCATGCTGGTAGTCAACATAAGAAAATCGTGGATAAGTTGTCTCAGGGAGCTCAGTTGCCAGATATTTGGTGAAATATTAAATTTTTTTAAAGAACATTATTTTTACTTTTGACCAAAAATCAGTAAATACAAAAATGTGTGTCTAATTTTGGTGTGAAATTGGCCCCATTTAAATTAGATAAATCTTTCAATGAGCACATTTTTGCTAATACGTAAGAGAATATTTTCTTCATTAAACTGGTCGCTAAATCATCAAATATTAGGCAATAGCGTTAGTTAATTTTTAATGGAACAATGTATAAGTCAATTATTTTCTTCACTCATCAGTTATTTGTTCCCTTATTTTTTTTTAATAACTGAACGAATGGTGTTTTGTTTTGAACGCGATAAAGTTTCAACTCATTAACAAATGATGACAACCTAACAATAGTTTTCCAGGTTTTCCTTCTTCATATTTTTTCCGTGTTCGAATTGCTTTGCATTGACCGAAACGGATCGGATTCCGAAAGAGTTTTATCCCTTGAATATATCGGGTAAGGTAGCACGTCTGAGCCCGAAGTGTATTGGAATTGTCATACAAAATCCACTCTTCATCCCCCGTCGCTAATCTCGAAAGAAATGGATCTTTTTCTCGACGGTTTGGAAGGGAATAAAATATAAAGACCCGCTGTCTCTTAAATTCCTGGTGATTTCGAAACGGCTGGTATACTAACTGTAAATAAAAATGTCCACTTGCTTGTGATATGGCTTTTTTTACATTTCCTTTTATCTGTCAAGTAGTAAAATGATGACAAATAATATCCTATGTAAATTTATCAATTTTGCAACAAATCTTTCCATACCACATTTATTATTACATTTTCCTTGGTTCTCGCATTATTTCATCCATTTAAAGATATCAACCTTGTAATAACATATTTCTTTATTATTTTAATTACAATAAATCGTGTGTTTCAGAATGGGAAACCAAAGGATTGAAGATGTAACCAGCTAAACGTCAAAACGTATGATATAATATTGTATATAATACAAAGCTCATGAATTTTTATAAATATATTTTGTAAGGTGACCAATTTGCTAGAAATATGGAGTAATTGGATTTTTTGTAACAATATTGATAATATTATTGTGATTTTTGGAAATCATGCAATATTTAAATCTTTGTGATCACAAATTCGTATACTAGTAGAGTTCTATCAAAATTATATTTTAAGAATTTTTGTTATTATTTTTTTAAATAAATAATCGTCTGCTTATTACTGTTATTTGCTTTATACACCCATTTTATTTAATCGAATTTTCCACCCAACGAAATAATATTAATTGTTTCTCTTATTTTACAATATATACGTTAATTAAAATGTATCACTCAAAATAAACAAAAGCCTAGAGAGTAAATTATTTTAATGAATTAGATTACAATTAAATTTACTTGGTCAAAAATAACACAATTAAATCATAAGAAAATTCAATAGGTAAATAAAACAATATATAACCTGTTTGTGTTCATAACGAATTTATTATTCATAAATATTTCTTAACATAAAAATTGTAAACGAGAGGCAAATGTTTAAAAATCATTTTAGCGTATTTTTTCATTTTTTTTTTTAATTTGTGTGAATTTGTACATACATAGGAATTATACGAATTAAAATGTATGTTGAGACCTTGCATAAAAAGCATGTAAAAAACAATATGAATTATTACTGTACCAATCCACATAGTACAAAGAAAACCCTTCAAAAAGAAAAGAAAATATTTCCCGAATAAAATCTGCTAAAAACGTGTCATTGAAGCACGTGAGTGGCTTTCCTTAGGAACTTTAACAACTTTTATATCCCTTCATTCCAGGTCCAGATGGAATTGTTTTCTACAGGATAACGCCTCTAGCCATAAGCCCAAAACTGGAAAAACCTTATTGGCTGAAACGAGCATCATCCCTACGCTATTATCATGGCTGTGAGAAGACATAAAAATAACAGTCGGATGAAGAAATCTCGTCCTAAAATACTTCAATTATGACATCATTCCATAAACCTAGAAACGTTTTTTTTGTCTTTGAGTGTATATTAATGTTTTCCAAATAATTTAACATGTTTGTACCTCTTGGCATAGCAATGAATTTTATTAATTACTTATTTAGCAACTAACGGGGAATGTTATGTGAATTCTGGAATGATAAGGTACAAGGTAGAACGGAATAGGTTTTACATAAATGAAAATAATTTCGGTTAAGCAGTATAAAAATTATTTATAAAATTTTGTGAAAAAAACTATGTTAAATATAACTATAACGTCATCTCGCAACGCATCCCAATTTATCTGAGATTTTTCTTGAAGAAAAAAAAAGAAAGAAAATTATTTGTATTCAAATAAAAAATGTTCTTATAATATACTTTGTCACTACATAGCCAGGCTGTTGAATGTGAAAATCAGTAATTTTTTTAACCTAAACGACAATTTTTTTATGTATTTCATACTCTTATTTTTTAAACCTTTTTCGTGAGATATTGAGATGTATCAGATTGCTCTTTTTAATTACCAAAATTCATGCTCCCTGTTCGCAATTTCGTCAATTTAATTTGTTTTAATTTTGTCACTTTAATATGCGTTAATTTAAAAAAAGTATTAAAATATTATTACTCGTGATACTTAGAAAATAGACGTGGTTGTAAAAACGTTGGAAAACAACTTACTGTGAGTAGGAACTATCTTTTTTAAAAAAAGGATTGAACACCGCCCTCACGCCATCATTCATCATTCCTATCACCAATGGAATGTCTTGGTCTTTGTGAATGGTTTCGTTAATGACATAGAAGGTACGACTGGACGATGTTGATTGAACGAATTGGATTGTTGAATGTTGAATTGCTTGGCTCCATATCCTTGCCTATACTTACTTCGGATTTGGGCCCCATGTAGGATGTCTGAGTTATCCTTATATTAGATTTCGGTTTCAGGTTAATTATTGTCTTTTTGTTTGTTGTGTGTTTTCCATTTCTTGTAAATCTGCTGTGCAAGTAGAACGCAATGTAGCGGATTTAGTTGGATGGAGAGATAGCCTGATTTTATTTGTGCACTGGTGGGCAGGAGGTTCTAAGTGTGAACACCACGTGCCGGCTCTTTCGTTCGTTTAACTTGATGTACCATCGAATGCCGAGGAATGCACCAATCGGAAATGAGATCTAGGTGATTACGTTAAAAAGCTGCTAGGATAGGGTCGTCAGAATGTGAGGCGAGGATTGCAGTATGTGCGCGAAGTTTGTGATTGTGGCTGGATAGGTATTTCAACAGTGTAAACTGAGTAGAAGATTCGTCTTTGGATACTGCTTTGGAAAACGCCAGCCTTGGGCTTGAAGTCTGAAAATAAAAAGCCAATTCTCACCTTGAACCATCGATCGTAGAGGAAGGACGAAGGTTACTTTTTAATTGGAAAAAAAAGACCTTGGCGACATTAACTTATACTGCGCACCCACATAAAAAAGTGACATAAGTCGAAAAATGCTTAACGGTGGATTAACATCATGTGTTACTTTTGAATTGGCTGGAACGTAATGTCTCCATTCAGGAAAAGTGCCATATCTTAGTCTAGCTTTGTAGCATCGGTGTGAGTATTCAACAGGAAAAGTTCACATTTCGAATTACGTCAGTTTTTTCTTGTTTGGTGAAAGATTTTATGCTGTACCATGGTCAGATTTTTGCATTGTGCAAACAATTGATAAATCAATTGTACAAATATGTTTTTCGTAATGTGACATTAATATAGGCCCAGATGATGAGTTAAAATAGGTAGAATGCTTGGCAGTAATAACTGAATTTTATTTTTTTCTCCAAGACCATAGCTTAATCTAGAGTGTTCGGTAATTAGTTTAGTTTCATTGCTTTTATTTTAATAACATTCTTAATTATAATATTGTTTTTCACAATTTTTAACTAAGTTGCCTTTTAACTTTTACATTATTTTATAGTTTCAAGGTTTTTTTTAATTCCCTAATTTCGTGGTCCGCTTGACCCATTAATATATTACAATTAATTAAGGTTTTTAGTTGAGATACAAAAGGAAAATAGTTGTTGATAAATGGCAAAAAGGAGGGAAAATTCAAAAGGTGTGGTTGACATGGGAAGTTAGTGTCCGAGTGGATCGAGGTCACGATAGCTCAAGTGGTAGAGCAGCGGCGAATCTAGCCGAAGATCGTGGGTTCGAGTCCCGCTCGTGCCATTGACTTTTTTATCTTAATTAAAAATCTTAATTAATTGTTTTTTTTATGTTTTACTTAGAATATTTTTAATAATCAAAAAAACTTTTATTTTCATAGTTGATTTTATATTTTAATAACTAATTAGCCCTGGCTCCAGGAGGAAAGCACATGTGTGTCAAAAATAATCTTAGTCAAACTTACTACATGGATATACATACTCGTTTGTTAGGTTTGTATGTTGCCTGTTACTGTCAAAGATAATAATACCCTAACAGTCATTCAAAAGCATTTATTATCGTTAGAGCAAACGACCTAACTAAAAATACCGAGAGCCAATTTATGCAATAAAAGTGACTACTCAAAAAGTGTTAGTTTTTAGCGGCAGTACAGCTGTAGTTTTAAAGCCTTTGTCTTTTCCCTTAAGTCTTGATCAAATGAATGACAATATGGATCAAGACAAGTTTTATAGGCAGTAACTATAATGGCGAGTACTTAACACATAAGCAAAAAAAAAGTAAACTTCCATATATCTCTCCGTAAAATTTTCTTTTTTTTTTTAGTTGTGTAATTTTTCTTGTCGATGTGCGACATTTTCACATCTGTGCATTCTAAGTGAATACAGTATTACGTATAATGTTTGGTTTTAGTTTTTCTACTAATTTTAATGTTACAAATTGTTTTTATAACCAACCAAATTTTCCAGAAAATATAAATGTCAAAAATGGTGCCTATGTTCGGTGGCCGGTGGTAAAAGGGGTGGGCGCGTCATAGAAATTAGAATATATATCCGCCTACGTTCATAGGTGAATACAGTAGGTCTCAAAATGTTCACTTTAGTTTTTCTACTAACTTGAATCTTACAAAATTCACCAAGCAATATTTCAAACCAAACTGTGAAATTATTTCAAAAATCTTACTATCAATCTATCCACTATTAAACTGTAAGTAAACAAATTTATATTAATACATATGTACCATTTTTCTAGTAATTTGCTCTATTTTTATGTCTGTTATTCACATATAGAATGGATCATTATAACGTTTTTTTCTATTTTATACACAATTACGTAGAAAATATTTTATATTATGTTATGGGATTTTTTTAAGATTTATAATATTTTATGAAACTGAAAACAGTGTAAAGGTTTACTTGATCTGCTAGCAGACAAAGAAAATATAGAAGTTACTGTAGATTTGAAAAAAAAATAGCTAAACATTATTGTTCAAGTCGCCATAATTGAATTTTTCTTAACAATGTTTCTTTTAATATTTTATTTACCTCCTAAAACATATTTGTTATTTATTTTTAGCTCATTTCATCTCGGCTTTCTCGGAGCTTTTGATGTGTTCCAGAAGACTTGTTTGCGAGACCAGTTCCTAATTTTAACGAGAGATCGAAATGGGAAAACAAAAGGCTTCTTGCGGCCTGATTAAATTTCAAGTGGATTTATAATTATACATTCTGCCTCCGCAAATTATCAACTTCTGCCACTCATTTGCTCGGAACGAATTAACGTCATGAAAGCGGGTACGCGCTTAAATAATATCAAGACACCGGGGCAAATTGTTAAAGATATTTTTACTAGAAATTTCAATGTTGTTAGTTGTTAATGACAAATAATTTTTATATATTTTTTTGTCTTGTGACAAAACGTGTAAAAACCACCTAAAAATTGTTTTTGTTGTGAAACTATTTTAAACGTCTGTAAAATATGATAATATTTTATCATTTCTACGATTTGTGACAGCTTATCCAATTGGCATAGAAATGTTCATCTATGCTGGCTCTAGTAAACAATTTTATTCTTTTTTTACTGGTTATTGATTTACATAAGCTGAATTAGCACATGCACGTACAATTGCACACACATGCACAGAGTTGAGCCTATCACTTCTGGTAGTCAACTCGCAATGCTAGCTTTTGTAATTTCCAATAAATTACCGGCAGTCCTCTAGAATCACCCACTCAGGATGTTGGCAGTCCGGGGTCAGATCTCGATTTGTCCATCCAACTACCGGGCATGGTCTCCAGAGGTTCTCAATAGCTAGGTTATTTCCTAGGGTAGTTCCTAAACTAAAACCCATTCACACTCTCATTCACTCATTCCTATTGGCATGGTGGTCCTAGTGGCATATTGGGTGGTCGAGTACTCGACATTCCTCCATCTCTCTTTATCCAGTTTATATAACCTAATTGAGGGTCGTTGGGATACTGTATATTCCGCAATTAAACATTCGCGCTAATAAATAAGTTCATTCCCAAGACAAGCTAGAGAAACAAAATTATCATTACTATATATTACAATTAATTAGGGTTTTTACCATTTGAACAGGTGGGGTTGAGATAGGAAGTTGGTGTCCCAGTGGATCGAGGTCACGATAGCTCAAGTGGTAGAGCAGCGGCGTATCTAGCCGAAGATCGTGGGTTCGAATCCCGCTCGTGCCATTGACTTTTTTAACTCAACCAAAAAAACTTAATTAATTGTAATATATTAATTGGTCAAGCGGACCACGAAATTAGTGAATTTAATGATTTAAAATGAAGTATACTTCACTAAAGCTCTCCGTGGCCATTTCATTTGTCGTCGAGAATCCAACCCGATTACAGGACATTTGAAAAATGGCCACAAGGAGGGAAAACTCAAAAGGTGGGGGTTTTGATGGGAGGTTAGTGTCCGAGTGGATCGAGGTCACGATAGCTCAAGTGGTAGAGCAGCGGCGTATCTAGCCGCAGATCGTGTGTTCGAATCCCGCTCGTGCCGTTGACTTTTTTATCTCAACTAAAAACCTTAATTAATTGTAATATATTAATTGGTCAAGTGGACCACGAAATTAGGGAATTACTATATATAATAAAGCAACTGGAACAGGGGACCCAATACTCGCTGCCCTCCTCAAGCACAATTCTTATATCGGGTGGCATTCTTAAAGGATTGCTAAATGGAGCCAAGCACTCTTCAATTAGGTGGGACATCGAGTAACCTTTCTCGAATACATCGCGTAATATGGAACAAAAATTTGCGTCCTTGTGTCAACCTCGCATAGCTTATCCTCAATCGTATGAGGATGATCCTTTCTTCTACGAGTCAAATCCTCTGAGTGCCACTTATGAACAGTGTTTTTAATACTTGAGAAGTTCTCTGCCGATCCATCCCACTGATGATGCCTCATATTTTAGTCACAATTTTTATTGCATTTATTTGCGGCAGAGGGAGGATCAAAGTAATTTTCATTGTCGCAATAAAAGGTACATTTTCTGTTTAGTCTTGTGGTTTGTTTCTTACCCCTATAATAAATATATAAATAAATTTAAGTATTAAAATATTACATGTTCACCTATTCAATTAGCTGATGTCAATGCTTCAAGTATTAGGTGGATGATATTGAATGGAGTCAAATAAAAACGAAAAAAGAACTATAACAATAATAATAAAAGTTAATTTATCTGGATTTGTATTTTATTACGAATATAAAAGAAAATATCCGTACGATTTGTAATATGTTGATTATCGCGAGATTTCAAGAACTGTGTTTCATTTTTCATTTTTACATCAATTTTTTATATTTAAAATTGACAACCAATCTGTCGAGTATTATGGCTGAAAATACAGTTTTTGAGATGTATTTCCGTTCATTGAACCACGTTCTGGCGGCTGTGAGTGAAACATACCAGTTTCTGCAGATCCCGGCAGAGTGTACAACGTGGTCTAAAATGTGTGGAACCATCTAAAACTCAAATTGTCGTAATATGCATAAAATAGTACTAACTATTTTCATGACATTAACTAGATATAACTATTTTTGGTCTGTATGGTATCATTTTTACTTATATATTTATAAATATCGTTTATCGGTGTATTCATTGGATTAAGTCCGAGCTTTTTATTGTTCTAGTCGGTCTTTTTGATCTTCGGTCCTTTTCCTTGTTCCTTGTTAATTTGTGGAATGTTTTAAATGGTGCAAAAGATGTTTATAAGGTACTATTAATTTGTATTTATTTAGAAATCGTGAGATGCGGTCTGGTGTGATGTAGGTTTCAGAAAAACATTTTCTTTATCGTGCCAACGTTTCGATCTTTATTGAGATCATCTTCAGGGCTCAATAAAGATCGAAACGTTGGCACGATAAAGAAAATATTTTTCTGAAACCTACATCACACCAGACCGCATCTCACGATTTCTAAATAAATATTTATTAACGGTCACTAATTACCATACATTAATTTGTAAATTTATGAGATTTTAGTGTTGAATGTGTTATAATTATACATTTCCACGTTTTCGTGTAAGTTCATTTTTCGTCCTTTTTGTACATTATGTAGTTATGTAGTAGTTTCATACTTGTTTGTATTGTCGCTGGTTCGTGTTTCTTTTCTTTTAGGTGAGACGCGTACTTTCATTTTTTGTCGTTGTCCCTAAACGATTTGATATGTTCCTTGTATTGCTGTGTATATTCCTTTTTTTCTTATTTTTTATGGTGGAACGGTCTTGTCAATGTTTTGTCATCGCAATTTTCCTTCTGTGTTTATGATCTTTGGTGCTGCTGTTATGCCTAATTTATTGAATAATTTAGCTGGTCTGTACGTTTCTTTACCAATGTATGAGAACGTGGTTCATTTAGAGTCTATTTTTGTGTGCAAATTTCATTTATTTTTTTATTAATTGTATTTGGTTTGAAGCCGTTATTATGGTCCAATGGTTGTTTTTGTTGTTAGTGGAATTTATTTTACTTTGTCTGTCATGGATTTCAATGCTGGCATTTGGTGACTGTGTATGTTCTTTGAGTCGGTTTGTATGATGTCAGTTACTGTCGATTGTTTGTATATGTCAAATTGTAGTTTGTCGTCTTTTTTTGTGATCGTTAAATCTAAGAAATTTATACTGTTATTTGTTCCTATTTCTGCAGTGAATTGTATGTTTTTGTGTAATGATTTCAGGTCTGTCAGTATGTTGTTTATGATGCTTTTGCTTATACACTTAAAATACTTAAATATAAATAAAATCCAATTAATTAGTTAATTTTGAAAAACCCAAGGACTGATAGGCCGTTCGAATCCGATCTAGATAGCATTGTGACTCTCAGCACTTCCGGCCGCTTCAGGCCAGTTTTGCTATACCAGTTTTAAAAACATCACTGTACAAACCGAATATTAATGATGCCGAACGACAAGGATGACCAGAACGTGAGTTTACCCAAACATATCTAGCTGTATTACATATTTTTATCACCTTATCATCAAACCTTATTTAATCATAGTTTTAAAAACATAGTTTTAATCATAAATATTTTCCTATATCGGACAGCAGCATAAACCGGAGCATATTTGTTACACAAACAGAGCTGATTCTGAGTCAGAATAGCATATTATTAGCACAAAGAAAAGCACAAGATATCTAAGCTTTTAAATGAACGTGGTATGCAGATGTTAAATAATTGGAACTGATTTAAAACAAATCGCTAAATCATAAACCGTTCTTTTTCATAAAATTAACTTGGTTTGCTTCAATTAAATATAATTTATCGTGGGTAAATATGCATTTATTTTTAAATAATACCTGTCCGGTCGTAGTTTCACGCTCCGTATTATTTTGCGTGCTTATCTAAAATAAAATAAAAATAACAAAAATAATCCATCCGTTTATAATTAATTTCGTCCGAGAGTACAGAGTTAATTTATTTTATATGTGAACAATTTATGTTTAAAAAAGATATATAAGATCATATATTTAATTTTTTTCATATACAGGTGTGTGTTTTTATTCCAAATAAAAGGAAAAATGTCGAACATATATGTCGAAAATTCTAAAAATTTAAGATAGGGGGTTCTCCGTCAGCTATATTACCATTTCCCTATTTCAAAAGATGCTTCTTTTTTGCACCAATTTCACCACTAGATAACGGAAGTTATTCATCAAACACAACACACGATTTGAACTATGAATACAGTACAGATAATTACAAATAAATAATACACAAATAAACGTTTTAAGACAATCTCAAAAATGAAATGCAACCAATAAACGACAATCCCATTTCAACTACATTTCCTAACCTCTGCCCTTGTGTCTTTTGGCCCTTTGTCCACAAGTACTTTTATCCATTTTTGTCCTTCGAATCGATAACCCATATCACTGTAGTTTCGGTACTCGTGCTACGTTCTGAAGCTTTCAGCTACCTCATTCAAAAATTGAGGTTCCTTAACCGATAAGTAAAAAAAAATGTTTATAAAAAAATCTATCTGTGCGTGTGCACGTACGTACGTACGTGCTTGTGTGTGTGTGTGTGTGTGTGTGTGTGTGTGTGTGTGTGTGTGTGTATGCGTTTGAGAGAGGGAGAGAGAGAGAGAGAGAGAGAGAGAGAGAGAGAGAGAGGGAGAGAGAGAGAGAGACAGTGTGTGTTTGTGTGCGCGCGCGTGCACATAGCTGATAGATGGAGTTTTTATTCGATTTGATACGAATTGATTTGAAATATTGAACTTTCTTAGAATAACCAGTGAAGGTAGCGAACGAGAGAGAGAGAGAGAGAGAGAGAGAGAGAGAGAGAGTGAGAGAGAGATAGAGAGAGAGAGTGAGAGAGAGATAGAGAGAGAGAGAGAGATAGATAGATAGAGAGAGAGAGAGATAGATAGATAGATAGATAGATAGAGAGAGAGAGAGTGAGAGAGATAGAGATAGATAGATAGATAGAGAGAGAGAGAGAGAGAGAGAGAGAGAGTGAGAGAGAGAGTGAATGAGAGGGGGAGGGAGAAAGCAAACCTTAAACTTAAAATATTTGGACGACAATAAAGTGCTTAGCAATAAAATTTTTACAATGTTAGGTTATCAACGCAATTTATAGAACGCTAATTACTTGGTTTCAAGTAACGTACTCCTCCTTCTTATTTATATACAATCAAGCCAAGTAAAATTACAATTCTCTTAATATAAGCAAATATTTATATTAAGATTGAGTGGTCAAGTCATGTAAGGATTTCTGGCCACTACTTTAACCGATAAGGTTATGTTAAAACATAATTTTTTAATATTTTGCAATCTGCAGTTTGATTTATATTTTGTATATACAGAAGGTATAACATATATTAAATTTGTTCAGGCATGTAGGTATATGACCAGCAAACACTCAAGAATTGTAATAAATGTACCTCAATGCAGCCTGAATGCTCCTGCGATCTAGGAGTAAAACGAGAAAGTGTAAAAGCCTAGCGGGAAATACGAATAGTTGGTCGTTTGAGGCAAAAATCAGGATTATGCCGGATTACAAGATTATTAATATTACTATTACATTTTTTAAAAAGTACATTGATTGAGAAACATCAAATCGTACAATTGCACAATAAATATGTATAAATTGGATTTTAAAATATGGTACATTCAAAAGGAGTACATCATCACAACCTTAATAATAATTTACTATTAAATTTAGTTTAAAAATTCTCCCACATGTTAAATATGCGTTAGGTCAAAGAACCGTTATTGATAATTTATTATTGATAACAATCATTATCTAATACATGAAGCGAGTTTGTTTTGCAAATGAACGTTTATGATTTTATTTAAGCTGATCAAGTCCTAAAATAAACTATAATCTAATATATATACATTCCACAAATTATCTATAAATAAAAATTTTTGGAATGTTGTCAACAAAATTAAAAATAAAACATATTTGAAAAACAATCGTCTCTAAAAATAAACCGTACATAACGACCGGTCTGTTTTCCACATTGTACTAACTGGAAAATGATATTATGAGCCTTGTAAACAAAACATTAATTCCATAACGAGTTCGAAACCGCGGCCTAATTCCCGAAACCCTGCGGAAATTTTGTCAATATGATTTACCAAAAATTTTCATTCGATTGATGAGATGGGAGAGGTGACGGTTTTTCCGTCGGGCTTCCTGTCGCGCAATCGCTGTAAAATACCGACCCCGATAGGTGGCGGGAAAGTGATCTATATGAATAAACGGTGACACACAGTGCAACTTGAAGACGAAGGGTGTAAGATAAAAAAACCATCTCGAAATTATCTAGTTACAAATCTAGTAAACACAGAACGAGAGTAGTTTGAAATAACCACTGGTACCTGGTTTGATAGATCATACACCAAGGTTATTTATTTTATTGCAAAAGCGATGGCATAGATTTAAAAAAAAGCAAAATTGCCAGCTTATCTTAAGAAAAAGTAAATGGCTCGATTAAAGTCTTATACAAAGCAAGGGACTTTCACGGGGGTAAAAAATCACATTTTGTGGATTGCTGATTAACACAGCAAAAAATAAGTTTCGAGTTATTGAAGTTAGTCTTGTTTCTATTTTACGCTAAAAATCAAAAATTAATTTGTGAAGGAAAATACCCCTGTCGCTTTTAATCAGAATTCAAACTGAACAGCAAAAGTTCCCTAATATAGGCTAAATGACGGGAATTCCTGTTTGAAGAACTCATTGATGATGGCACATAAAGATAAACGCATAACATATGAATATATCTGAACTTTGGGCGAAAGAAGAAACCGTGATTTTTCCAACGTCTAAAATTATTATGCTCATTTATTAAATTTCATGTATTATTACAGATTTAAACATTTGATGTAACTATCAATTAATTAAGGTTTTTAGTTGAGATAAAAAAGTCAGTGTCACGAGCGGGATTCGAACCCCACCACCTCCTTTTTGTCATTTTTCAAATGTCGTTTAGTCTATTTGATTATTGGCGACAAATAGGAGGGAAAATTCAAAAGGTTGGATTGAGATAGGAAGATAGTGTCCGAGTGGATCGAAGTCACGATAGCTCAAGTGGTAGAGTAGCGGCATATCTAACCGAAGGTCGTGGGTTCGAATCCAGCTCGTGGCACCAACTTTTTTATCTCAACTAAAAACCTTAACTAATTGAAAGATATTAATTGGTCAAGCGGACCACGAAAACTAGTGAATGTAATTTTCAAACTGAAATTCTGTTGGCAGAAATCCATCGATCTCGTAAAGATAATACAGCCTGGAAAACTGTTTTTTGACTGTCCTATGCTTGGGTATATGACCTGTTTGGACTGTAAATAATTAAAATCAAATAATAATAGTAAATAAAAAATGAAAAATCTAATAATATTTCGTCACACAAACCAATATCGTTACTTTCAGATATTTCAAACTCTTTCAGAAACTATTACTCAAACAATTAAAGAGAGTTAATTATAACAAAAAAAGCTTTCTATCAAACTTGACTTTAGGGAAAACACTACTGAACAGTAGACCAAGTTCACAGAATTACTGGTTTAACAGAAAGATCTTTAGAAGAGAAATATTTCTGTACTGCTTGGGTTTCTGGATTATCTAGCCTTTATGAAGTACTAATGCATCAATTTTGTAAATTTTTTACATGACGAGTTATATATATTCTGCTTTTGATGGATTGGTCTAAGGCTTTTGACCGGGTTCTTCATAATTTTCTTGTTAATTGGTCAAATACTCAACCTATTTGTTTCATACCTCCAGAGAAGTCTGTCTAGAGTATGGCTCATTCGCAGTCAGTTCCAAAGAAGAAAAATAATACGGGTGGGCCTCAGGGTGATATACTAAGCCGACTACTGTTTC